AGCTGGGCGTCGTGGCAGGCAGGGGGGAGGAGTACTCGCCCCGGGAGCGCTCCTCGGGGGAGCCTGTCAAGCTCTCCATCTCCAGCTCGGGCTCCCGGTCCAGGCTGGTGTCTGCCTCCTGCCCCATCTCCATCTCCCGGCCATAGCTGGTCGTGCTGTTCAGCTCAATGGTTTTGAAGCGCCGCAGCCCCCCCTGGGCCGTGCTCAAATCGTCACCCTCCGCTACCTCCATCTCCTTCCTCTCCTCCTTGTACAGGCTGCCAGGGCCATGCGGCAAGCGCCGCTTGGCCGACGCCGGCTCTTTGCCCTTCTCCACCTCGGCCTTCTGCCCGGCTTTGGGGATGCTGTACTTGGCGCGCCCGTAGCCTTCCTCGTCCTCCTCCTCCTCCTCGAGGTTGTCCTCCTCCGCGCTCATCTCCATGATCTGCCTCCGCATGAACTCCTCGTCGCTCACCTCCGCCTCCCGGCCCTTGGGCCGGGGGGGCACCGGGGAGAAGCCCCCCTCGCTGCTGTCCTCCACGTAGTCGTGCCGCAGCTTGCTGCCAAACTCATCCGAGGACTCCGCGCTCTCCCGCCGCTCCCGCTGGTTCTCCCACTCCAGCGAGTCCTCATCCTCCTCCAGGATGTCCTCCAGCTCCTCATCTGAGTCAAAGGCTTCGGGGGTGATGGAGAGGTACCGTGGCCGCTGCCTCTGCCGTTGCTCCTCCCGCGGCTCCGAGCCGCTCTTGCCGCGCTCGGTGGGCTCTGGTGGGGCTCCCCGGCCTTCCAGGAGGTCTCCGGCGTGGTGAGCTCGGAGGGGCTGGGGGGGCTCTGCCCAGCCAGCCCGGTGCCGCTCAGCTTCTCCTCCTCCTGCTGCACCAGGCCGGTGATCTCGCTCTGCGAGCTGGAGATGCCGTCGGAGGAGTAGCCGGTGTCGCTCAGGCTCTGGGGGCTGCGGGACAGGTCCGGGGGATAAGGCTTGCTCCCGTCCTGCGGGCGAGGGAGAGCACAGCGTCACACCCAGGCAGCTCCGGAGCTGCTCCCCCCGGCTTTCCCCCAAATCCTCCCCCCAGGGGAGCACAGAGAAGGGGAGCATGCAGAGGGGAGCCAGCCCAGCGGGAAGACTGGGGGACGCCCCGTGTGTTTCCCCCTCAATGGCTCGTCAGTAATTTGTCTGCGTGCTAACGAAGGCAGGTGACTGGGGCATGCTGCAAGCAGGGGATGGCACAGCAAACGTGCTGGGGGCGCAGGCATTGTGGGACTCATAAATACGTTTAAAAAACCATGCCCCATCAGCGTTATCTCCCCCGGTAACTAGCGGGAGAAGGCTCTCTAATGGCAATATCGATTTTTATAGTACCCACCACGGTGGGGCAGCGCTGGCTGAGCCGCAGCCGTAAGCCTTGGGGTATCGACGGCCGTGGGCCCTTCCCCGGGGAAGGGGTGCGAGGGCAAAGCTGCCTGCCGCCCTCCCTGCCTGCACGGGGAGAAGCCCAAGCGCTGGTAACTGGGGGTGGTGGGTCTGGGGAGGGGGCAGCCCTCGCACCTCGGTGCGGTGGCACCGAGGGGACAGGAGCTTCGCCAGCAGCAGCTTGGGAGGAACGCCACCTTTTAATGAACTTTAATTCCCCTGACTTGACAGCCCTGCAAAGCAGCCTTCGGAAGCAGGGCGGCGCCCAGCATCCTCATTAGATGCCTGCAGAAATAAACAGGCCCTTTTAATTGATGGTACAATTAGGCAGAGTGGGGGCAAGCCTCCGAGCCATGAAGAAAGCGCCGTCGTGCTTGGCCCTGGTGCTACCAGCAGGGCACGTCACCCCCACGGAGGCACCACGGACCTTATTTGATTTTGGAAGTTCGAGCAGACAGGGATGCCAGGAGCCTCCTCCGTGGGGGGATCGTCCCCTCCCAGCTGATGAGGACCTCTGGCCACATCCCCTCCCTGCGGCGGGGGCTGTGCTGGCTGCTGCAGGGTTGGTTGCTCATGGGGGAAAACCATCCCGATGCAGCCAAGCTTCTCCCTCAAACTGTACTGAATTTTAAAAAAAGCGGGACTGTGAGCTTGAAAAACGCCCACCACTGCAGCGTGCAATGTCATGACACAAGTTTTCCACTTAACGACAAATTCAACCGCCCTTATATTATTTTAAAACAAATCCAGAGGCCAAAGCTGACCTGGACTATTGCGTTATGCCCAAATTCATGTCATCATAATAAAGAGAAGGCAAATACCAGCAGGCTGCTATAGAGCCTACGAAGTTCCTAAGCGGTTTGGAAATGCTGAGGCAGCACCTCAGCAGCTGAGGTGCTTTGAGTTCACCATTTCCCAAAAGGTCATTTCCTGAGGCAAATGAGCTCCATGACAACAGTTTCTGCTCTGACTTAGAACAACCCCCTGTTGCTGAGCCACGGCTGCCGGCGGAGGCACAGCTCAGCACCGCGCCAGCCCTGGGTGGGATGTGGTCCCTAAGGATGCGGTCCCCAGGGATGTGGTCCCCAGGGATGCTCAGAACTGGATGCACTCTGAGAGCTCACCTCCTGCTCCTTCACCCGCGGCGCCTCGGGGGGTGCCCGGCTCTCCTTGCTCTCCACCTC